GTTTCCAGGAAGTTTTTGATTTCTTTCTTGATCTCATTGGCAACCCATTCATTGTTTATTAACATGCTGTTTAGCTTCCATCTATTTGAATGTTTTTGAGTGGGTTTTTTTTTTGTTGTTGTTGTTGTAATTTTTAGTTTGATGCTATTGTGATCTGAGAATATGCTTAACATGATTTAAATCTACTTGAACTTAATTTGTTTCCTAACATGTGGTCTATCTTTGAGAATGTCCCATGTGCACTTGAGAAGAATATATATTCTGAAGCTTTGGAATAAAATATTCTATGCATATCAATTAAATTTATCTTATCTAGTGTGTCATTTAGGGCAGTGGTTCTCAACTTTCCTAATGCCGTGACCCTCATGTTATGGTGACCCCCAACCATAAAATTATTTTTGTTGCTACTTTATAATTTTGCTACTGTAATTTTCACAGGTAACCCCTGCGGAAGGGCCATTTGACCCCCACAGGTTGAGAACCGCTGATGTAGGGTCTCTGTTTCCTTATTAATTTTTTTTTCTAGAAGATATGTACAGTGATGTCAGTGTGATGTTAAAGTCTACTTTAGTATAGTATTTAGGATAGTATTGCTATCCTTCTCTCCCTTAAAGTCCTCCAGAAGTTTTTAATATATTTTGGTGCTCCTCTATTGGGTGCATATATGTTTACCAGGTTATGTCCTCTTGTTGGATTGATCCCTTTAATATTATGTTCTGACCTTCTTTGTCTCTTGTTATAGCCTTTATTTTGAAGTCTATTTTTACCATGTATGAGTTGCTGCACCAGCGTTTTTATTTATTTATTTTTATTTGCATGGCAATTTGTTTTCCATCCCTTTACTTTTATCCTTGTGAGTCTTGTTCTGAGGTAATTCTCTTGTAGACAGCATGTATATGGGTCATGTTTTCTTATCCATTAATCTATCTTTTATTTTTTGATTGGAGCATTTAAGCAATTTATATTTAAGGTTGATACTTATTTGTTGCCATTTTTATTCTTTATGCCTGTGTTTCTCTCTCTCTATTTCTTGTTTACGACAGTCCCTTTAGAATTTCTTGTAAAGCCAATTGGGTGGTAATAAATTCCGTTAGCCCATTTTTTTTTGTCTGTGAAGCTTTTTATTTCACCTTCAATTTTAAACAATAGCCTTACTGTATAGAGCAATGATGGATTCAGTCTTTTGCTTTTCATTACTTTGCATACTTCATGCCACCTCCTTCTGGCCTTCAGTATGTCTTTTGAGAAATCAGCTTTCAGTCCAACAGCAGCTCCCTTGTAGGTAACTTTCTGTCTCTTCTCTTGCTGCGTTTAAGATTCTTTCTTTGTTTGTAACAGTTGCAATTTCAGTTATGAAGTGTCTAGGTGTGAGTCTTTTTGGCTTCATCTTTTTTTTTTTTTTTTTTTTAATCCTCACCCGAGGATATTTTTCCATTTTTGTACAGATAGAGTGGGAGGGAGAGAGAGGAAGGGAGAGAGAGACAGAAACATCGACGTGAAGGGACACATCGAGTGGCTGCCACCCGCACGACCAACCAGGGCCGGGGACAAACTGCAACCGAAGTACATGCCCTTAGCGGGAACTGAACCCGGGTCTCTCTGGACCGCAGGCCGACCCTCTAACCACTGAGCCAAACCGGCCAGGGCTTGGCTTCATCTTGATTGGGACTCTGTGTTTCTTGTACTTGTGTGATGTTTTTCATCATCAGGTTAGGTAATTTTTGTGTTATTTCTTCAAACAGTTTTCTCTATTTCTTTCTCTGATTTTCCTCCTTCTGTTACCCCTATGATGCGAATGTTGTTATGTTTTGTATTGTCCCAAAGCTCCCAAAACTCTCCTCCTGAAATTTTTGTTTGTTTGTTTGGTGCTCTAATTGGGTGTTTTTTTTTTTCCACCTTCTAACTCACTGATTTGGTATTCAGCTTCTTCTAATCTACTTGTAAATCCTTCCAGGGTATTTTTATATCAGCTATGTCATTCTTCATTTCCACTTGATTTTTATTTATAGCTCCCCACTTGCAGTATTTCCAATTAGCCATTTTCAGGTGGTTTTTCAAATTAAATATTCTGCAGTTTATCTTCATGTTTGGTCATGTGCTAGGATCTAGCAGATAGAACTTCCTTGGGCTTCAGCCGTCTTGCCTTGTCCACAACTGTGTCTTAAACCTCTTTATTCTGCTACATCTAGACCAAACTGAATGGTTCTTTTTTCTTTTCTAAATCCTCCTGCCAGCATATTTCCCCATTGATTTTAGAGAGAGTGGAAGGGAGGGAGGGAGAGCAAGAGAGAAAGAAACATCAGTGTGAGAGAGATACATCAATTGGTTGCCTTTTGCATGACCCAGACTAGGGCCAGGGATTGAGCCTGCAACCCAGGTATGTGCCCTTGAAAGGGAATCAAAATGTTACCCTTTGGTCTGCAGTCTGACACTCTAACCACTGAGCCAAACTACTGAGGGCAATGGCCTTTTCCCCCAAAGCTACAGAGTTCAGTTGCTTCCTGACTCTCTGCCAAGTGGATCTCCAGAAAAAGAACACCCCAGATGTCCCTCCTGGGTGCATCCTGCAGACCCCTTTGCAAGACCTTAGCAAAGCAGAGTGGTGTCACCAGACCTTAGAGGACTAGGCAGAGCACGTTTCAGGCTGGTGCTTTAATAATAGGAGTGCTGAACCCTGTGAATGCTGCATCTGGATGTGCAGTAGACTTTCTTCTTTTTCAGACAGATTTAATCCCCACTGATTTTCACCATCAGATGCTTTGTGGGCTCCTCCTCTTGTCTCTATTGCTCTTGGTTGGGGATCTCTGCATGGGGTTGAGACCCCATGCTTCTGGGGAGCAGAAGTTTTGCATCTGAGATATCCCTCTGGCTTTTCATCTGTTGCACGTGGATGTGGGAGCCAGGCCTTTCTTCATCTCCACCCTTATTTCCAGTCTCTATATGGCTTTTTCTGTAAATCCTTCATTATAATATTTAAGTTCAACTAGCCTTCAGTTTGTTTTTCAGGTTGATTGCTGTATAATTTAGTTTTAAAATTGATTTGGGGTCAGGAACAGATGAGTGTAGCTTCTACATATTCTGCATCCATCTTCGAATCTCCCCTCCAATTTCTTTTTAAAAATAGTGTTCAGTGTGTAAGCCTGTAATTCTTTGGTTAAATGTATTCCTTAGTATTTTATTATTTTTTATGCCATTATAAGTGGAATTTTCTGAGTTTAATTTATTAATTTGTTTATTGTTAGAAATACAATTGATTTTTCTATATTGCCTTAAATCTTCCAAACTTGCTGAACTCATTTTTTAGTTCTAGGATTTTTTTGCTAGTGAATTACTTAGGAGTTTTCATATACAACATATGTCATCTGGAAATAGAGATGATTTTACTTATTCTCTTCTTGTTTAGTTTGTTTTCTTTTTTTTTTTTTTTAAGTGCACTGGCTAAAACCTCCAGTATGATATTAAATTATTAAAGTGATAAAAGCAGATATTCTTGTCTTATTTTTTATATTTGGGCAATGCATTCAGTCTTTTCACCTTTGACTAGGATGTTAGCTCTGTTTTTATCACATATGGCCTTTATGAAATCGAAATAGTTCACTGTTTCTAAAGTGTTGAGTATTTTATCATGAAGGATGTTGAGTTTCATTAAATCATTTTTCTGCATCTTTTGAGATGGTTATTTTGCAGTTGTTCTTTATTTTAATGATATGGAGTGTTACAGTGATTGATTTTTAAGTGTCAAAGCAACTTTACATTCCTGAGAAAAATCCCAATTGATTATGATGTATAATCCTTTTTATATGTTGCTGTTTATGCATTTTATTAGTATTTTGTTGAGGTGTGTGTGTGTGTGTGTGTGTGTGTGTGTGTGTGTTCCCATTCTTAAGAAATATTGGTCTATAGTTTTATTTTCTTTTGATATCTTTGTGTGGTTTGACCTTAGTATATGACTGGCTTCATAGAGCAGTTGAGAAGTATTCTCTCCTGTTCCAGTTTTTGGAAGCATTGTTAAAGAATAAATATTAATTATTCAAATGCTTGGTAGAATTTGCCAGTGAAGCTATAAAAGGCTTAAAGCTTAATTATTCTGTGGGAAACTTTGTGATTATTAATTTAACTTCTCTAATTGTCATATGTTTATTCAGTTATATTTATTATTTAGTCAGTTTCTGTTGTTTTGTCTTTTGTCTATTTCATTTAGGTTATCTAATTTCTTGGCATACAATTGTTCATGGTATTCCCATATAATCCTTTTTATTTATGTTAGGCAATTTGTGATATTCTTTCTTTCACTTTTGATATTATTAATTTGATTTTTTTTTTTTTTTTGCTGAGCAGTCCATGCAAAGGGGGTCTCAGGGAGTCATTAGAGTAGAGTTAGTGGAATTCATCAGGCTTATGCAGATTCACATTCGTTTGTGTTGGGGAATGACTCAATACAGGGACCATGGCAGTCATCCCTGTAGCCTTTGTACTGAAGCTACACAATTGTAAATCTCATTCCCTATACCCATAAATCTATAGATTCTAGATTTGTTAACCATAGTAATTCTAAATCAGGAATATCCTGATAAAAGCTTCCTACGGATACCTTCTTTTATTTCTGGGAGAGCCTCCTACCCAACATGGAAAAAACAAATACTACTTTAACTTTTTTCTTCCCGATAGATCGACTCATTGAAATTCAAAATAAATTATTTACTTTTTAAGTATAAACAAGGTAAATATATTAAAAAGAAATTTAGACATGTTTAAAAATATTTTGTTTGGTTTGGTGTAGTTTGGGGGTGTGGCAAGAAATTCAGCAAATATACAGTAAATTTAAACATTCTCATCAACAACAGATATCTATAGTAGTAGTTTATTGTATTTCTTTAGTGTGTGTTTTCACATGTGATATACAGTTCTTTTTTCTATTTAACCTTAGAATATTTGAGAACTTATATGATGGTTTTAATTCTCAATTTTCTCTATTTCTCTCAACTCAACTCTTAAATCAGGATGGAGATCCAGTTCGTCCTGGAGTGGCTATGACTGATCTTGCCACTGGCCTGTATGCATATGGAGCCATTATGGCTGGATTGATACAAAGATATAAGACTGGAAAAGGACTTTTCATTGATTGTAACCTACTGTCATCTCAGGTACCAATCCAAATAACATTTTAGATAGTGGATAAAAATATGTATCGGGGTTATACTCTTTCATGTTACATTCAATGGTCACGTCTGACAAAATAAAATCAGAAAAAAAACTAAAAGTTGTTTTGTTTTGGTGTATTTAATTATTGAACAATGAAATAATTGAACAATGAAAAATTTTTTGTATCTATATACATTGCTGTTGAACTGGATTTTAAATATAGTTTTTATTAGAATAGATCTATTACAAGAGTGTAGGTGTGCTCTGTAAGTTCTTTTGACCAAAGTTTCTTCACCTATTTTGTGCTATGGACCTTTTGGGTAGTCTGGTAAAGTCTGTGAACCTTTTCTCAGAATTATGTTTTTAAATGAATAAAATGATATATTTAGGATTACAAAGGAAGCCAATTATATTGAAATGTAGTTATTTCAATGAAAAAATATTTTGTGTTATACCATATACAGTTTATACAATATACATTAAACCACAAGATCTCTATCAGTGAATACACTAATTGTTATTTTGACGGGTTGCACATAAACATTATTTAAGGTAGATGAAATAACTATAATATGATATGAAAATATGTATAATATTTATTGGCAATCGAGTCATAGGTACTACTGTGTACCTGTGTTGTGTTTGTTGGTTTGTTGCCTACATTTGTAATTGAAGAAAATGCTAAACTTTATTTAGAGCTTGATGAAAATAAATATATGTGTATATGAAATAAAGCTATATAAATATAAGTGTATATATATATATATATATTTTTTTTTTCTATTCAAGTTAGTTTTCAGAATTATTTCCATGGACTCCAGATTAAGAACCCCTGGTTTATATACTTATCAGTTTTGTTATGCTAAATATTAAGCTGTGGTTCTGTGATTCTCTGGTTCTCTGGGGGTGGTGTTAGATGTAGGTGGAGTCACTTGTGGAGTTATTTCAAAGTGAGGGTACAGTAAGTACATATATTCCAGCCATTTTGGGTGTGTGTCTATATTTGTTGTTCATGTTGCTCCTTGAGACTAAGTTTTGCGAGTGCAAGAATAATGTTTGTTCTTGCTTACAGTGGTATCCTCAACTAGTATTTGTCAAATAGCAGACTCACAGTCTTTTGAGATCAATTAGAGAACCACTGTCACCAATGGATATGTCTCATGGTCATTAGGTTTGCAAGGGAAGATTAGAAAAAGGTAGAAAACCACTGACTTAGGGTAGTTGAGAAACAACTAATGATGATATGATTTGCTTTTGGCAAATATAGTAGCAGTGATTTAGCCTGTTATGCTATAGCTAACATAGTCAGAGGTAGCTAAGATTATTCCTGTATTTAAGACTCAGTAACATCTTTTTAAAAATTGGTGTCTAATTTACATATAACATTATATTAGTTTCAGATCTACCACATACTGATTTGATATTTATATATATTGTGAAATGATCACCACACTATATAGTTAATGTGTCAGGAAATAGTTACAATTTTTTTTCTTGTGATTAGAACTTTTAAGATCTACTCTCAGAAACTTTCAAATGTATAATTCATTAATATTAACTACAGTCATCAAGATGTATATTACATCCCCTGACTTATTTATAACTGGAAGTTTGTATCCATTTTGCTCAACCTTACCCCCTGCCTCTGTGAACCACCCATGTATTCTCTGTATCTACGAGCTTGGTGTGTGTGTGTGTGTATATATATATATATATATATATATATATATTTGAAAAAAATTGTTTTTAGATTACACATGTAAGTGAAACTGGCCCAGATGACCTGAGGTTATTTTGCAGGCTTCCATGAAGCCAAACACATGGCACAGGTGCTGATGTAGGGAAAGTGATTTATTTAGGTGCTGACAACCTGAGAATGCTCATGGCTTAACAACCATCTTAACATCTCAGGGTAGGTAAAGGGCTTTTATAGGGGGAATTGTGGAAAGAACGGAACTAAGGAGTTCTGGTAACATGCTGTTTCACATTCTAGCTCTTAGGTGGTTTCGATGTTCTCTTTTGTGTGTGTCAGTGTCTGGCATTTTTTCTCTCTGCTGGTTTTATTTCTGGGGAAGGATGTTGCAGGCCTGGCCAGCCATTGGCATCTGCTATAGTCCTGTGGTTGAGGCTGGCGAAAATGGGAACTGGAACTGCTGCTGCCTATAACATGCTTAAATATGAAACTATTACTATTTTAGACTATAAGTTTTGTTAGTATATTTAATTCTTGGTTAGTTCATTTAAATGTGAATTTTTTATACCCTATACTCTGTTATATAAGTGAGATCATATGCTATTTGTCTTTCTCTGTCTGACTTATTTTACTTAGCATAATGCCCTCAAGCATCATCCATATTGCTGCAAATGGCAGACTTTCCTTTTTTTTTTGCCTAAAAATATTCCATTGTATACAGGTAATTGTTGAACAACATGGGTCCAAACTGCATGGGTTTGTTTGTTTGTTTGTTTATTTATTTATTTATTTCAATTAGTATGCAGTCTGCTGGCAATATCCCTGGGTTTCACATCTTCAGATTCAACCCATTGGGGATTAAAAACAGTTTATTTTTACTTTAAATAATATTTTATTTTTAAATTACAGTTGACATACAATATATTAGTTTCAGGTATACAAACCAGTGATTAGACATTTATATAACTTACGAAGTGTTTACCCTGATGAATCTAGTACCCATCTGATACCATACATAGTTATTACAATATTAGTGACTATATTTCCTATGCCTATGTTGTACTTTATATCCCCTGACTTTTCTGTAACTACTGATTTGTATTTTTAATCCCTTCAAACTTTTCTACCCATCACCCCAACCCTTCTGCCATCTGGCAACTGTCAAAGTGTTTTCGGTTTCTATGAGTCTGTTTCTGTTCTGCTAGTTTGTTATTTTGTATTTTATATTCTACATGTAATTAAAATCATATGGCATTTGTCTTCTTCTTTTGGACTTATTTTATTCAGCACAGTACCCGCTAGTTCCATCCATGTTGTTACAGATGGCAATATTTCATTCTTTTTTAATGGCCAAATCATATTGCAATGTATATATGCTCCACTTCTTTAACCATTCATTTAGTGATGGACATTTAAATTGCTAACATGTCTTGGCTATTGTAAATAATGCTTCAATGAACATATAGATATATATGTTTCAATTTAGTGTTTTTTATTTCTTTGGATAAATACCCAGAATTGGAATTGCTGGGTCCTTTTTTGTCTCTTATTATGTAATCTTTGTTTGTTTTAAAATCTATGTTGTCTGGTAGAAGTATTGCTACCCCAGATTTGTTAGTTTGTTTCAGTTTTCATGAAATATTATTTCTATTCTTTTACTTTCCATCTGTGTGTCTTTTGATCTGAAGTGAGTCTCTTGTAGATGGCATATGTAAGGGTCTTGTTTGTTATCCGTTCAGCCTCCATATGTCTTTTGATTGGAGCATTTAATCAATTTGCATTTAAAGTATTTGTTGATAGATATGCATTTATTGCCATTTTATTTTATTTTATTTTTTTAATCCTCATCCGAGGACATTTTTCCATTTTTTTTACAGACAGAGTAAGAGGGAGAGAGAGGAAGAGAGAGAGAGGGAAACATCGATGTGAAAGGGACACATCGAGTGGTTGCCACCCACACGACCAACCAGGGCCGGGGACAAACTGCATCCGAGGTACATGCCCTTAGCGGGAACCGAACCCGGGTCTCTCCGGACTGCAGGCGGACGCTCTAACCGCTGAGCCAAACCGGCCAGGGCTATTGCCATTTTATTATTCATATTTCTAATCTTTTAAAAAATATTTCTTTTTAAAGAAGATTCTTTAACATTTTTTTTATTTTTTATAATACTGGTTTGGTGGTGATAAAGTCCTTTAGCATTTTCTTGTCTGGAAAGCTTTTATCTGTCCTTTGTTTCTAAATGATAGCTTTGCTGGATAGAGTAATAATATGGGTCATAAGTCCTTTCTTTTCATCACTTTGAATATTTCTTGCCAATTCCTTCTAGCCTGCAATGTTTCTGTTGAGAAATCAGCTGACAGCCTTATGGGAGCTCCTTTGTAGTTAACTAACTGCTTTTCGCTTGCCATTTGTAAGATTTTCCTTTTCTTGAATTTTTGGCATTTTTAGTATAATATTTGGTGTGGGCTTCTTTGGGTTCATCTTGTTTGGGGCTTTCTGTGCTTCCTGGACTTGCATATTTCCTTCACCAAGGTTTTTCACATGTATTTCAATTCCTTGCTCTCTTTCTTCTCTTTCTGGGACTCACATGATGCTAATATTGGTATGCTTGAAGTTGTCCCAGAGACTCTTTATACTATCCTCATTTTTTTGGATTTTTTTTTTTTACTGTTTATTTGGTTGTTTTCTGCTTACTTTTCTTCTAAATCTTTGATTTGATCCTCTGCTGAATCTATTCTACTTTTGATTCCGTGTAATGTAGTCTTCATTTATCATTTATTCTTTTTATTTATCATTTATAGTTTCATATTTTCTATTTCTATGTTAAATTTCTAAGTTTATCTATACTTTTGCTAAGTTCATTGAGCATCTTTATATCCAAAGTTTTGAACTCTACATCTGGTCAATTGTCTCCATTTTGTTCAGTTCTTTTTCTGGTGTTTTGTTCTGTTCTTTCATTTGGGACATGTTTCTTTGTCTCATTATTTTGGCTACCTCCCTTTTTTGTTTACTTTTGTTTTCTTCCTATGTAAAAAACATTAGGTAGAGCTGCTACATCTCCCAGTCTTGGTAGAGTGGCCTTATTTAGGGTCTAGTGGTACAGCTTTCCTGATCACCTGAGCGGGATACTCCAGAAATAGTTTTGGGTGGGCCTGAATATTGGGTCAGGTAGGGTCTCAGGGGTGGGCTGAACAGTATGAGCCAGGTTGATGGAGACTCAGATATGGCTCCTGCCTACCAGCTTTGTTGGAGGATGGCTTACTCAAGGATCAGTGGACTCTTTTAGCACTCCCGTCTGGGAGAAAGCT